GGTGCCACCAGTGCAGTTATATGTATGTAGTCATGTATGTTATAGTATGTAGTCATGAGTCAGTTATATGTATGTAGTCATGTATGTATGTAGTATGTATGTACTAATATGATGGCGAGCTAAATGGCACATTCTAAAATTCTATATAAATTAGCTCTTAGTAAACATTTCTGTAAGTCGTGCTAGTCATAGATATTATGAACTTGCTTATAATTATTGGGGTGTTACATGAAAATGCACAAAGAAGGAAATTTAAAGGTGGCACCCACCATTGGTTAATGCACAAAAAAGGAAATTTTAAGGTGGCACCGACCATTGGTTGCTATTGATGTCAAAGGGTTAAGCGAGAGTCCCCATTCAAATGGGAAACAATGAAACAGGAAATGAAAATCACATAAGAAGCTAAGAAGTCAACGAAAAAGTTGAAGACAAGGAAAATGAAATTGATGAACTTACCACGTATTCACTAACGTGTCCGAATCGAACCCGAATCCAACTGAAAACGCGCACCAAACTATGGATGACCATCTCGCCTATGATCACGATATAATCGAATAAGCAAACAGACGTATGCAGCCGCTGCTGCATCACCTGACAAGAACTCCATCGCCAATGTGAACACTTGTGTTTATTTGGTGGCTGTGTCGCTGCGTCGCGGTTCTCGCTGCGAACTGCGGTATTCTCATAACACGTTGAACGGAACACGTCGAGTTTCTCCATGCATTACGCGGGCACTGCGCGCCAAACGTATCAGTCTATTTTCAGGCGTTCTTGCACCTTACATATTTTTCCCATAACTGGCTGCTCTCCGAGTCTCTGATATCGTGTAGTATGGCGCAGCCTCAGATGCTGACACTCCATTCTTTTTGTTGTTTCATAGGAAATGTTTTACTAAGTACAGGGTGGCAAAAAATTAAGTGCGCGACTCTTCGTTTGAAACATTGTATAAGGGACGTATGCGCGCCATTTTCTTTTCAAACTGTTTATCTATTGTTTATTATTGCTTTGAAGAAGAAAAAATTGGGTTTCCATGTTCCGATGTTCTCGCTGGAGGAAAAAATTGAGGCTTTATCGAAACTGATGGCAGCTACTCGAAATCTTTTTTGCGGTTATGAAATGTCATGGTTCGATGTTTTATAGATTGAATTACTTTCGAATTTTCACGAGCAAGAACTAAAGTTTGAACGTGTTTTATGGCGCAAGTAACTCTTCGCCGCCCTGTACTTTGCTTTTTAGTTCTAAACGTATCAAGCTAGAAGCGCGTAAATCCAGCGAGTGCTAAACCATTGAATAAATCTGAACTACTATGGATTTTCGGAGAAAGGATAGAACATGACTTCAAATTATATTTATTCAAAGTATAGCAGATAACACGAAATGACGACGTGCCATCTGGAACGCACAGGGAGATACACATAGGTTGATCGAGAAACACATGGCATCACAACGAACGGCAAGGAGTGGATACGAGCACAGTGTGTCGATACTAAGGATTTATTGCAAGAGAAAATGTACGGATATAAAAGTAGAAAAGTAGGTTTACTCCTGCAAGGTTTGGTCGAGTGAGCCGTAAGTGACAGAAGACGAGGTTGGCTGTAGTACGAAAACCCTACTTTTCCGCAATTTTGAGTAGGAATATGACGCGCACGACTATCGTACGCCGCAGCCCACATGTAGCGTTTTCGTTGAACCTCGCACGAAAGTTTTGAATAGTCTTGCAAATCTACCGATCGTGCGCATTTTACATGACCCACTGTCCTTCGAACACATTTGAATCCAGTTCTCCAGTTCAGATTCAAATCTAGATACATGGATACCGTTAATCACACTATCGGTTTGCACGTTATCGATTTGTTTTTGTGGCTCACACTATGTACTACTTCTTGTCCCAGATCGCACTTTTCTTACACCACTCGATTTATCTTCACATGAGCTCAAGCTTTACCTTGATTTGGTTATGGGGATACTTTATTCCTATAGCATCCCTTGACGAAATTGCCCTAGGTCACAGCGATACCGAACCAAACAGGAGTAAGGATTGTCTCGCAAATCGTGAAATGATGGAGAACAAGAATGTGATGAAGGTTGGGGACAAGAGAGGCTGCCTCAGATGATCTGCTGTGCATGAGCTGCCGCTATCGCTCCATATGTTCCGAACAAGAAGCGGGCCGCTGTTGCTGGATTGACCTGAGGCATCGACAAAGGGCGAAGTGACAAGGGCGAACCAGCTTGAGCCGAAAGCAAGCTGAAAAGTACGTATGAAATCATCAGGTCAGGCATTTAATTTTATGATGACAAAGAATCAGCTACTCAAAATGAGCCTTGTCTAACTCGCTGCAAAATTTTTATCGAATTTTTCGGTGCAATTTCGTTCCTAAGGTTTGGTGAGCTTGGTGCGGTGGTGGCGCTTTACTAGTTCCATTTATGGAACGGCTTTCTTTGTAGGCAGTTCAACGGAGACAATGATGTCTCAATATAGTTCCTACTCCTGTGGAAGCAGTTTTCGTAAATCGACGTTAAGACATTAATATTTCAATTCGTGTTACCTTGAAGACATTGAATTAAGTCGGTCGGATGAGGATAGCGAGTGTCCAAAAAGGCCGGCTCGGTGCATTTGGAGAGCAGCTGTCGGATCCTCGGTTACTGCTTGTCTTTTGAACTTATTACGCCGGTTTTGGAACCAAATTTTAACCTAAAAATCACACAGTTCAGGGTTGTGCACTCTGGATTAGCAGGTTCTCAGAAAAACAATAAACATGTGGAAAAAATATAAAGTGCTCCGCTCTTTCGCATTGTTCCTCGGGGCTATGCAGATTTTCGAACTTCTATCTCGTACTAGTTGAGCTCTACTTACTGAGCGTGGTCAAAGGATGGTATGCCATTAACAAACTCTTAAAATGCGGTGTTTTGTTGCTGAGATGTGTGGGCCGTGCTAGAATTAGAGTTATATATGTATGAGATTCAGTCTACGTCCTATACATATTTTTCATCCTGAATCAACCCATTCCGGACCGCCTGACACCCATGGGGTGTCAGGCCCAATTTGCTCCCTGTGGCCGCCTGACACACATGGGGTGTCAGGGACTTCAGAAGGAGGTTTTCCGGGGATTCGGTTTTCGACAAAATGTTTTATGCTGTCAAATCTATGTAACATACTCATAAAAAAACCTAGACTCCGATTCTGAGCTAATTCCTAAAATAACTAGAAACTAAATGTACTTTCACTCTTGAGCTCAGAGAAAACAGCTATAGTGTCCATGTTCGACTCTCGGTCAATCTTGCATTACTATAGTTACTTTCAGCGAGGTTTCTTGAGCCGCAACCAAGATATTATGAACGTTTTACTCGGCTAACGTTTCGGCCGTATCGCCTTCGTCGGAGCCTGGAAAGCCAAAGATAAATGCGATTCACCCCCAAACACCATTTCAAACTTCAAGAGAAGTCCCATAGACCCAATGTCTCTAGGAAGGCATCACATTCCTTAAGGTGGGTCCTAGTGTTTAGTGATTTGTGATGCCTTCCTAGAGACATTTGGGTCTATGGGACTTCTCTTGAAGTTTGAAATGGTGTTTGGGGGTGAATCGCATTTATCTTTGGCTTTTCAGGCTGAAACGTTAGCCGAGTAAAACGTTCATAATATCTTGGTTGCGGCTCAAGAAACCTCGCTGGAAGTAAAACAGTTATAGTTCATTCGAAAACACCCCATAAAAAAGAATTCATGGAATATCGTGCACGCCCTATTTGATGCTATTGACTCCAAGCGTTTCAGGCAATATCTGGTTCCTTTTTCCCTTTACAACTTATTTT